CTCTTAAAGTTTATCACTTAATCACTCAGACCTCATAATATTTAAAATGTTACACACAAATCCCTTAAAGTTGGTACACATATAACACTTACACCCCCTACTATAAATATATCTAATAATAAATTATAATCAAACCTCATGAAGTTTGTAAACATATATTATTTAGACTCCTTAAATTAAATTGTTATAGTTAGATTAAAAATATTTCAGTTAAAGATAAAATATCAAATATTTTAAATTTTACGATTAAAATTTATGTTCTATTTATCTTTTATTGAAATAAAATTAAAAATAAAAATTTAATTTTTTCTTAAAAAATCGTAATTAGTATACAATTATATTGTTTATTGGAATTTAACTTAGTCGTTTAAACAACCAAATTAAAATATCAAACAACCTCAATTAAAACTAAAAAATATTGTGTCCATTACAGTTTGACCTCTTATTTAATTTTTTAGTTTTATTCTAATATATAGTATAATTATATACTAACTATGATTTTTTTTTTAAAAAAATAAATTTTGATTTTTGATTTTATTTCAATAAATGACATAATAGAACATGAATTTTAGATGAAAAATTTAAAATATTTGATATTTTATCTTTGATTAGAGTTTTTTTTGTCTAGGTATAATGAGGTCTAAGTATTATATACCTATAAACTTCAAGGGAGTCTAAGTGTAATTTATTAATGGATATATTTACACTAGGGGTCTAAGTGTTTCACGCGTATAAACCTAAGGAGATCTGTGTGCAATATTTCAAATGTCAAGAATTTTAAGTAATTAAGTGACAAACCCCAAGGAATCTGGATGTAATTCTCAATTTTATTTTTTTTGGTACAAAACGTGGAAATGTTATATAAACCTATGAAATTTCTAACGTACCAATAAAATACATAAACCAAACATGATAAATAATGTGCTTTGATGCATATTGGGCTATTGATTTTTTGTTAATTGTGCATCGCTATAATTATTATTTATGTGGTGATGTTGAGGATACTAATTTGGTTGTTTGAGGTATTCGTTGTGACATTGTCTCTTTTCTTTATTTAGTTATATTTTGAGACCTCGAGTCATCGTCTTTACCGACAATGCTTCGAAAAAATTCTCTACATAATCTTTATGAAGGCAATTTTACTAAAGGTACCTTGGTGCAATCGAAACCACCCTCGATGTGTTCTATGAACAACATTTTCATTTTTGGTCATATAAGATATTTTTGTAATAGATTTCTTTTACAACCTCTTATAATATCTATCTTATGAGAGGTGATTATCCCTAACTAATTATAAATTTTTAACCTTTTTTTGACAAATGAATAAGGATAATAACCTAGATCATACAGTAAGTCGATAGAGTTATGACTCATTTATTACTTCTTATATCTTATTGCTCAATTTAGCTTTAAATTTCTTTGAATTGGTAGGTCTAGTTGTTTTGACCAAAAAAATATAGGCATTGTGATTCGTGATAAATACGAACTTAACTGCCTTCACATATCTGAAAAGGTGACAACAAATTTAAATATAATGATATAGGCATTATGTTTTTTTAGCTATAATAGTTTTTTATTTGTCCATATTGTTTTGTTGAAAGAAAAAAAGAAAGGCAACTACTAACTCTAAAGGAAAAGAAAATACAAAGCCTAAAGTGATATGAATGGTTGCATTCAACACATAAGTAAATGTTATATAATTGTTTATGTTCACAAGAATGATTCTTTTAATAATGTTTTAGATATCCAACAATAATGATATATAAAAAATCATGTGGCACACCGTGCACGTCAAGAACGAGATAAAATAATCTCGTTAATTTTATGTTATCATTTAATATTGTTAGGATTGGTGTGCATTGACTAAAGAGATAAACAAAATAAATACAACGGAACTTCACCGATAGAAATATTATAAAAAGGTAACCCGATCTTTACACTGTTTTAACGAATTGCGTTTTTTTTTATAAGTAATATATTCCACTAAGATTTTTTTTTATTTCTTTCTGCAAAACTAGGTTGTTGTACATTCACCCAACTTACTGTTTCGCATATGTATTGACACAAGAACATTCAGAAAAGTGATGAAGAAAAAGTGCAATAAAGATAAAGTTTAGTGAACTATTGAAAGAATGATCCATTAAAAATGTGTTTTCAGTTGTTTTTGCATTTGTTTTTGCATTTGCATATTTAGTGCTTTAGTTCTTTTGTGCTTTACTTGACGCCTGCAATACCAAAGAACTGTAATATTAGAATCTATTAGTTTTGTTTAGTGACTTACGGGGATATTTTTACTATTCATATAAGTTTTGAGTGCGAGTCTTTCCCTATTTTCATAGAATGCATTGCCATAAGTATTTGGTGGATAAAACTAATAGTTGGATTACTAACATTTTATTTTGATTTTTGTTTTTATGGTTAAATCTATAGAATTTCCAATTCATTCTTTTTGAACATTGAGTTGAGTAATTGACCATTATTTTTTATATTTTTTTATATAATACTTTTAGGCACGGGCAATTACTAGTAGACAAATAAGATACATCTCAAAACAAACAATTAACTTTTTATCCATTTTTTTTTTGATTTTGAAAAGTTGGAAGAAAAGTTAATCCATCCACTTTTCCATCCTTCATACGTTCATTTTTTACCAAACATGATGTTTTATCTATTCCTCAAACTTTCTATCCTTCTATTTTTTCATCGTATCAAACGAAACATAAGAGATAATTTAAATAATAAGAAAGATGAATTATAAATTCAAACGCCTTAAAATCAAATTTTAGCAACAACTAGGAATCCCGGCGTGGAAACAAGGGTAGCCCACTGTGGTGAAAATATTTCTTTTCATTTATTTCTTGTTTACCAGATTTAGAATCATTTAGTAACAATTGCTTTTTTCAATGAAAATATTTCTATTCATTTATTTCTTGTTTATCAGATTTATAATCATTCAATAGCAGTTGCTTTTTTCAATGACGCTAAATCAGTCATTGAATTAAGCGCCATTTTTTTTCCTGATCAAAAAAATTAAGCGTCATTTAAGGTTCAAAAAAAAAAAAAAGAAAGGAGTTTAATTGCTATAAAGGTTTTCAAAATATGAGATTTGTCTCGTTTTGATCTTTAATATTTCAATTACATCATTTTGGTCTCTGAAATATTGAATATATTTTTTTATGATTCTTCAAGCAGACAACGTCTAGATTACTAATGATTTTTTATCATAAATTTATCATGTAATACTTAAATATAGACAAAAAATAATTTTGATAGCTCTTAAACAAAATTTAGGTAGCTCTCGACAAAAAATATATAATATGAGTAATTTTTGACCAAAATTTGAATAATTTATGGTCAAAACTGTATTGTTTAGATAGCTATATAACTAAAATTTGAGTAAAAATTTAGTTAAAAGTTATCCAAATTATTTTATTTGTCCATATTTAAGTATCACGTAATAAATTTATAATAAAAAATTATTTGTAATTTGAACGTTGTCTAATTGATGGACCATATATAAATATATTTAGAATTTCAAGAATTAAATAATGTAATTAAAATATTAAATATTAAAATAAAATAAATCTCATACTTTAGGACCTCCACTATAATTAACTTAAAAAAAAGAAAGTGACATTTACTAAGAAAAGAAATATAAATAGACTTATCAAAAAAGTGAGAATAAGATCTTTAAAAATCTTCACAAGAGGACATGGGTGAGAATATCTATAAATATGACTTATAAAAAAAGTGAGAATAAGATCTTTAAATCTTCACAAGAGGACATGGGTGACAATATCTGTATCTGCACCTTCCTTAAGTTAGAGAATATCTGTATGTTCCAAAAGCACAAGGCTATCTGAAAATTTCAACTTTCGTACACCTCGTTTCACCAGCATGAACAGACAAGACAAAGGAGAAAAAACCATTGCTTGTAACTTGCGACGCCGCATTTTTCTGTCTCTATCAATGCCATAAATATCAGTAGTTGGTGAGTACTTAAACAGTGTCTCCATTGATGATAATCATCACAGCTTGAATTGAAAGGGCCTTGGCCTTCCATTCTAGGCTAGCTGTGCATGAAAAACAAGTTCAGTTTCAGAGAAGTCGCCGTGGCGTTTCGCGGGAGGGGTTCGGTTTTCTGCACAAGACAAGCCATCCATGTGAGACTTTCCGTTCTGTTTTATTTCTTTTTCAATGGGATGAGATGTATACACACTGTTTTTGGACCAACCATAAAAAAAAGACCTCTTTTTAGTTTTTTCTTGGCAATTTCATATCACAACCATAGTTTGTTGCTGTAGTTAGCATGGTCATTGACCAAGCTGTCCAAGTACTTTTCTTGTATTTATTGTTCATGACCACAGCTTCAAATCAATGCCCTTATATTTCAGGTTGTTCATGAAGAAAAAGCTTAACTTATGACAAGATCATTGTGGTACGGGTAGACTTGAGAAAAAAGAAGACAAGAAGTTCAATCTTTCTGTTGAAAGACATCCTTCCACGTGAGTCACTGTAATTGGTTTTTGTGCTTGTTTAGGCCTTGATTAAATTTAGTGATTATTTTATTGCTGCAAGTTTCGTGCTAACAATTTTAAAGTTGTGGATTCAAATAAAATGAATTTTGTGCAAATAATGCAAAAATTATTATTATTTTTAAAAATAATCTTGCGTGTCAACACATGTCCGAGAAACTTTTAACAAAATTGTGTGTCATTTAAATTTTTCAATGACAAAAACGAATCAATAAAATTATGAGTATTTGGGTGCTATAGTTAGACAAAATAATCACTTTCATCTCTCCATCACAAGGACTATAATTGTCCTTGAATTTGAAAAAACCATATGGACTGACTGTGCATTCTCTTCTTGATAATGATAAAATGAATGCCACGGCACAATCTTCTTTGGCTAATTCGTACAGGTGTGTGGTCCAAACATCACCCACATTATATTATAGGTTTTTGGAGCCCCTCTCTATCTCTCTCTCGTTTAGTATGGTCGGAAAAAAAATGGGAAGACATGGGGAGATGAATGGGGAATGATTCAACATTCTGAAGTTGAATAAAGTTCTAGTGATTTTACCTTATTGAATTCGATTCTTTGTGTATTTGGCTCTGACACTTATTCTATTCAGACGTCTCTGCTGGACTTCATTGTTTTGGTGAATTTCTTTTGCTTGACATATAATAAGATGTTATCTCAGTAATCTTGAATTCTGCAATGGAAAGAAAACACAGAAAATGATTTTGTTTTTTTTTCTGTACTTTGATTTCTCTGACCCATTACTCAATTTAGCATTTGGGTTTGTCAAAGGGACTCCACACTCACTTGTTTCAGTTGATTTGTACATCAAATTGTAATGTTATTTGGGCACTTCTTCAAGGAAGTCCAAATGGACTTCTCCTTACTGTGAAAGTTTTTATTCGGAAACTAAATATGTTGTCCAATTGATCCAAGTCCATTCCAGAGAAATTTTAACTAATTCTCGAAGCACCCGAGTTTTGCATTGCAATCATTTGTTGAAGCTCTTGATCAAATTCAATTTGATGCCAGTCGAACTGATGCCCCTGAATTGCTGTTTGCAGCTATGTTGATGTCGCGTTCCATCTTAATATTTCTGTTCTTTTCGCTATTGTCTTTCACTTCAATCCAAGGCACTACTCTGACCAAATCTAGAGGTGAGAGAATTACAGCACGCCACGGTGCGGTTGCCACGGATGATGGGCGATGCTCGAGAATCGGGAGGAATGTTCTTCGTGAAGGAGGGCATGCTGTTGATGCATCAGTTGCCGCTGCTCTTTGCCTGGGTGTTGTGAGCCCTGCTTCAAGTGGTATTGGTGGAGGTGCATTTATGCTTATCAGGCCAGCCCAAGGGAAGGAAGAAGCCATTGACATGAGAGAAAGTGCTCCCATGTTAGCTTCCCAGGTACTGGCCTCCCTTTCTTTCACCTAAGTGTCTTCGGTTCGACTAAATTAAAATTAGTTTAATGGCCTCTTAGTCTCAGGTGTGGGTCATGTTTTAGTGTCAGGTCTCAATGACTTCATTAGTACCAGCCTGATGCTACAATATCATCTAAAACTACATGCTTGGTATAATCCAACAATGTATAATAGGTGGTATAAATTCTTAATTGATTGGTATTAAGTACACTGAAAGCAATTGTTCATTGTTGTGCAGTGTGTGTGGAATGAATATAGCCCATAACTTCTCCCTGTTGATATCATGTTGGCAAATCAATGGTCCAAATTTGAATTGCCTTAAAAGAAAATGCCCAATAATGCTCCTTAATCCTAACTGTATCTGGTGACCAGTTTTTACAGAGAGCACATGAGCCAACACTTGTTCTATTGTAGGTGAAAGAAAGAAAAACATTATTACCTGTTTGGTATACCCTTCATCAGAAACTCCTGATTCAGCACCTTTCAACTTATATTGATAGTCAATCTTACCATTTTAACTTCTAACTGGGCTTTATTAACTTACTGTCTATGTTTCTCCTTTTTAGAACATGTATGCTGGAAATGCTGCTCTAAAAGCCAGTGGTGCACTCTCAGTAGCAGTCCCTGGAGAACTTGCTGGCCTTCATAAAGCTTGGAAACAATACGGAAAGCTTCCATGGAACAGGCTCGTAAGCCCAGCTGAGCATCTTGCTCGAAATGGATTCAAGATTTCGCGGTATCTCCACATGCAAATGGTGAAAACAGAATCTGGTATCATGGTAGATAAGGGACTTCACGACTTATTTACATCAAATGAGACCCTCTTGAAGCCAGGCGATATTTGTTACAATAAAAAACTGGCGAAGACACTCAGAGCGATTTCAGAATATGGCGTGGAAGCGTTTTACAATGGATCGGTTGGATTGGATTTGGTTAGAGATGTTCAGAAGGTTGGAGGTATATTGACCATGGAGGACTTGCAGAACTATCGAGTTAAACTGAGAGAACCAATATCTGCAGATGTTCTTGGCCTTAAAATACTTGGTGTGCCTCCTCCTTCTGCAGGAGGAGCTGCATTGGTGCTTGTAAGTACATTTCATGACTTGTTATCCATTTATGTGTGATTTAGAACAATTACAGATTAATTCCTTATGATTTGATTTAGTAATGCATTATTTTATTATAGTTGAGAAACAAAAGCATCACTCCCTGTAGTTTTAAGTTTTGGACTAAGCTGAGACCATTAAAATCTTCATTAAAACTAATGAACAATGCTCAAATGTCAATATTTTTATTTAAAAGATTTATCAGAATGACTTTTAGTATCTGTAATTTTTTCTTTCTCTAAAATAAACCAGTCTCATTTCCATGCATTAAGTAAAATTCTCTATTCGTATAAATTTCTTAGGAAGAAAAAACTGTAAATTCTTAAAGAAAATAATGGTATGATCGTATATTTATACTAATTTTTTAACCCCGTTCACCTTAGATGTTGCATTTTAGTCTACTAAAATAATAAAGGGTTATGTGTAGATCTTTAAAATATAAGGAACTAAAATATTTCTTACTCTAATTATGAAAATAAAACACAATTTACCCTTTTTTTCAACTACATAACACATCCTCTCTGTTTGTACTGCGACAGATACTAAACATTCTTGCTCAATATGGAGTTCCATTTGACTTTGGCCCCCTCGGGATCCATAGAGCAATCGAAGCTCTGAAACACGCGTTCGCTCTCAAGATGAATCTTGGTGATCCAGATTATGTCAATGTAAAAGAAGTCGCTGCTGATTTGCTGTCACCTAAATTTGCTGCTGAGTTGAAGAAAACCATATACGATAATATGACTTTCAATTCCAGTCATTATGGTGGCCAGTAAGTAGCTCTTTTAGTAAGAAAATTCATCATCTGGTGCAGTTAGACTTTACTATTTTCCCTGCCTTGGTCTGAAATTATTTTTTTTTTCGTTTATTTACGTTTTACGCGTCTAATATGAATTTTTGCATGTACTCTTTGAGCTGAATTTAGCCAGCAGGAATGCATTTTTAAGCGCAGGAGTATGAATATGTGATATATCTGTAATATGAGTGTAAAAATGACTTACAAAGCAAAAATGACAGAATCAGAACACAAGATGTTGTGATTTATGATATACCAAATCTCACAAGTAGGCCTGTCACTGGATTGATCCACAATACATGCTAATAGTCGGATATAAATTGACATTTTTGGTCAAGTATTCATATCCCCAACCTGAATTCATTGTCATATTTGACATACAGGATGGATATACCACACATATGTATGAATGGAGTGAATATTCGACGAAATGGAGTTGAAATAAAAATGTAATATGTTAAAATTTAGCTTTAAATTGAGTTATTTGGATTAGATCTGATTTTTGAAACGAAGAATGATTTTTTATCACAGGTCTGATTTTTTTGATTCATAACAGTTGGAATCCGATCTATGATCACGGCACCAGCCACATGTCCATTGTAGACAGTGAAAGAAATGCAGTTTCCATGACCAGTACTGTAAATTCATACTTTGGTGCACAAATTCTGTCACCAAGTACGGGGATAGTCCTTAACAATGAAATGGATGATTTCTCCATGCCAGTGAATGCTTCTGCAGATGTTCAACCACCAGCACCTGCCAACTTTATTCATCCAGGCAAGAGACCAATGTCATCCATGACACCCACACTTGTCCTTCAGGTAAGATTTTTTGCCAACTGGTTTTCATAGTTTTGATCTGCTTGAGTCGGGACTTGGGAGTATCCAATTAGGAGTGTCAATTGAATCGCATAGTGTCGTGGTGTTCACGTCATGTTTAGTTGTGTCATGTCATGTTCGGATTGTGTCATTTTAGATTTGTGTCATATTTGGATTGTATAATTTGAGGTATGTGTTATTTTTGTGCTACTCGTGAGCTAAAAACCTTGGAACTAAGATCCCTCTTTCTCTCAACTAAATCCTGCGCACAAAGGTTACTCATAAATTTAAAATATACTTTCATACGATTTAAGCAAAGTCAAACTAAAACCATTTCATCCTACCAGCATCACATACTACTATATAGCTATATGAAATACTACTATATTAGACATTTTTCTACTTACAAGAAAATTAAACTAGTTTGTTATGTCAAAATTGAGTTAATGGTGTTCAACAAAAACCAACAATATATTGTTTTAATTAATCATGTCAAATTCATATCATATTGAAAATTTGACTTTGTATGGTATTATAATATTAATTTTATGATGTGATTTTACAGGGTAAACACTTGAAAGCAGTTTTAGGTGCAAGTGGAGGAGCCATGATTATTGCTGGGACAGCAGAGGTATTCTTGAATCATTTTGTCAAGGGAATGGATCCACTCTCTTCTGTCATGGCTCCAAGAGTATATCATCAGGTCATTATTCAACCCACTTATAGCACCTCTTTATAAAAGCCCCTCTTCCAACATGTTCTGCTGAGAGGATAACAGATGAGTTATTTCTCATGCTCACGTTAAATAAATTGTTTATCGCGTAATCAGAAATCGTTTCAACCACATTTTATTTGAACTCAAATACACACAATCACCGACAAATCACGTGTATCGGTTAAATGCTCGGAGGATTTTAACTTAAGACGTTGTATCTAATAATCGATGCATCATGACTCATGTAAAAAAATGATTGTAGAGAGCAGGGAAGGCATCAATATTCAGTTACCACCTCATCCGAAACTAACCCCAAAAGCAAAAGGTCATTTATTCTGCAACAAAATTGCTTATGCTTTCCCAGTTTTAGTTTTTCTGTTGAATTTATCTAGAAGGCTGATGTTTTTGCCATTGCCCACCAATTTTTTTTTTTTTTGGTAACTGTACTCCATTGAAAGTTACGACTCAATCTGGTGGGTTACAACCATTGTCACAATTTTATTAATTAGACCTTGGGAAACCATCCTTGTCTGACACAATGTTGTTTGTGCAGCTGATTCCTAATGTGCTTCAGTATGAGAATTGGACCACAGTGATTCGTGATCACTTTGAAGTTCCTAAAGAGACAAGGAAAGCCCTTCAAAAAAAAGGCCATGTCCTAAAAGGTCTTGCTGGTGGGACCATTTGCCAATTTGTAGTTCAAGAGTTACAGGCTTCAAATTTCGGGGAGCTTGTTGCTGTGAGTGACCCAAGAAAGAATGGGTTTCCAGCTGGTTTCTGAGGATATGTAGTGCTTATGTACCTATCATTTTGAAAATGATTGATGCGCTTCTCTCTCTCTCTCTCTCTCTCTCTCTCTCTCTACCTCCCCTCCTATTAATGTTGCATTAAATTTGATGGGTGGCTTTTATGCCATGGAAAGAAAGATGTACAATGACAATAAATGAATTACCAATCAAGAAAAAAAGATGTTTTGGCAAGAACTGCAAGAAAATTTCTTGCTTTCAAGGTTAGTACCAAATGATAATTTTGACCCCTTAGTAGCATAGGCTAAGCACCACAATAGAAAACCGGAGCATGGAATTTTGGAGATAATATTGTTTTCAGTTACTTGGAAGGTTTAGCAGCCACACTGGAACAAAAGCTATAGTTTATTATTTATTTATTTGCATTGGCGGATTAGAGGTGACAAATAGATGAGTTGGTTAGGTGGCAAATAGATGAGTTGGTTAGTTATGGGTTGGGTTAAATTGGATTGGATTAAAATAAATTTAATTTATTTTTTACTCATATAGTGAATAGGTTATAATGAGTTGAGTTTATAACAGGTTGAGTTAAACCGATTAACCTATAAAATAATTAAAATTCTTAATGAACACATTAATACATTAAAACACATATAAATACACACACATTAGTAGTACACTAAAATATAAATATACACACACACTAATACACCAAAAAACACACAAACTAATACACTAAAAATATACACATATACTAACACAAAAATTAAAATATATTTAATAAAAAAAATAAATAAATAATGGGTCGGGGTAATTATGGGCTATGAGTTATGGGTCAGCCTATAGGGTAGTTGGTTGATCCATGAGTTATGGGTTGATTCATGGGTCATGAGTCTACTCATAGATTATGGATCGACCCACGGGGTCATGGGTGGTGTATTAGTATGTGTTTTTTGTGTACTAGTGTGTATATATTTTGGTGTATTAGTGTATATGTGTGTATTTTTTGGTATATTAATATATTTATTTAATTTTATTACTTGTGTTATTTAATAAAAAGATAAATACTCAATCCAATGGTTACCCATTTGTAATTCATATTAATTCGCTTAATTAAAATGAATGATATTACCCAATTCATTAATTTATGGACAAATTAATGAGTAATGAGTTAAAATTGTCACCTCTACATATCACTGTTACAAAGAAAATTCAACTTTTATTTCTACGGAATAGAAAGTACCCATAGAGGTTTATAAAAAGTATGGAAAAAAAAGCATAATAGAACCTTTAGAGAAGGGAACATAAGAATTAATCATGCCTTTGACAAAGATTAATCGATTGATCTCTTTGTTTTCAGAAAGTCATAAAGAAAATTAAGAGCGACTAACTAGATTAAGCTCAATTAATTATAACACAATATATTATCTATGTAAAATATAAAGCTTGCGGTAATGAAAGATCCCCCTATCAAGTTGTAATTAAAAAAAGTCATTCTAATCATATATCTGTATTCTCTTTTTACTTTTCAATTTTTAAATATTTTGAATTTATAAACTAGAAATCAAAGGTTGCTTATGATCATATTTTACAATTTTTTATAACTATCCACCATTTTATTTGAAATTAACTAAAACAATACTTTTATTTTTCACCGCTAATAAATAATAAATTGAAGTACTGTGACAATATAACTCTTTAGTATTGTGGTCAATAATTTTTAGGACAGTTTACGTACATTTCAACTAATTCTCTCTTGATTCGATTAAAGATAAATTATTCATGTCGAAATTAGAGAATTGATGAGAAAGTAATCTTTCATGACTTTAAAAAATTGTCAAGTTTCAAATTTTTTTAAATTTACATTCGTTCTCGTATTTGAAATAAAAAGAGACAAACAACAATAGAGGTAGTAGAATCAGAACTTATGATAGGGAGATTCCAGAAGGTGAAATCTATCCCGACCTCCGCGAAGATCTCTTTGAGGGATCTAACCTTCAAATAAATCACTTACCGGGGACTCCTCCAAAAGCCTTAAGCACCCACAAGTGTACGGTAAAATCTCGTTGAATATTTTTTAAATTAATCTGAAAAGTAATGGGATCGATTACAAAATTTATTTAATTACATTAAATTCTAATTTAATCAGGAAGATAAAAAGTGCTTTGACCATAACATTTGGTGAGTAATGATATTTAGAGGGGTTTTGACCCATCTCATGGGATTTTAGAAAAAAATGTCCAATGCACTAACGTATTTAACCTAAAAATATCAGTCTATTTGACCTTTTAAACTTTTTTTACCCCAACATAGTGGCCCTAATAAACGTTAATTGATCTCATTTTTTTTAAACACGTCAATCCAACTGACGCGTTCAACTCATTTGCCAAATATCAAACTACTTCTTTTAACACATCACTCCACCGCTAGGGCATCTTATTTAAATTGAGCTATTTCTTTTTTTACTCCTTCTTTGCAAAAAGTCACATGATTTGTTTATCATTCCACTTGATTTGGGTAATTATCATAAGTGACTCATAAATTTTTTATCGGGTTTTAATGTAGTCCGTAAAATTTTATTTTATTTCAATTAAAATAGAAGAGGAAAAAAAAGAATCAGAGCATTCAACTTAAAAACGTCAAATTAAGTGATGTTTAAATAAAAATGTCAGTCCGTTTAATATGTTTAAGTTGAATGTGAGTTACAGTTTTTGTGTTAAAAACATCAATTTATTTGACGTTTTTAACCTAAAAACGTCAATCCAATTAAAAATTATTTTAAAATTAATTATTATTTGAGACTTTTTTCTTTTAAACCCCGTAGGATAGGTCAAAAGGTCGACATTTTAGACCTAAAATACTAACTAGTCTCGCCAATGTCGTTGCTTCATTCCCGCCAAATTGTAATCATTAAACCTCTGATTCTCTCCGGTCATGGACACAGTCCTCTCTCTCTCTCTCTCTATGTTATCGCTAAAGCATCACATGATGTAATACTTAGCAACAAAATTTATGAAATCTAAACTATTGATTAATGTTCTGATCGTATTTTTATTACTTGACATAGCTCCATAGTTTGTAATGGAAAATCCAACTCCGCATTCTGTCAGCTGTCCATCAGATTTCTACACCTCTCTTCTGCAAACAAGCCTTAAAACCAATGACCCATTTTCCGGGAGATCGGTTCATGGTCGGATAATCAAATCTGGGCTTCATCTTGGGGTGTTCCTCCTGAATAACCTCATCAATGTCTATGCCAAGACTGGGTATATTTCCGATGCCCACCAAGTTTTCGATGAAATGCCTATTAAGAACACATCCTCTTGGAATACACTCTTATCAGCATATGCAAAACAGGGTAGGATAAATGATGCGCGGCGTGTTTTTGAAGAAATGCCTGATCCTGATGCTGTTTCTTGGACTGCGATGATTGTAGGTTATAATCTGATGGGTTGTTTTGATGTTGCGATTCGGATGTTTTTAAAGATGATTTCATTTAGAATTTTGCCAACCCAGTACTCGTTTACGAATATTTTTGCTTCATGTGCTTCCATTGAAGCATTGGATATAGGCAGGAAGGTTCACTCGTTTGTTGTTAAGCTTGGGCTCAGCAGCTATATTCCTGTGGCGAATTCATTGTTAAATATGTACGCAAAGTCTGGTGATCCAGTTATGGCCAATATTGTTTTTAACAGGATGACACTGAAGAGCGTTTCTAGCTGGAATGCTATGATTTCATTGCACATACAGTCTGGTCGAGTTGATCTTGCAGTGTTTCAATTTGAACAAATGACTGAACGTGATATTGTTTCCTGGAATTCAATAATTGCGGGTTACAATCAGCTTGGATTTGATCTTGAAGCATTGGAAGTGTTCTCTAAGATGCTTAAGGTTTCTTCATTGAAGCCTGATAAGTACACTTTGGCTAGTGCTTTAGCTGCTTGTGCCAATATGGAGACTATAAGTCTAGGGAAGCAAATTCATGCTTGGATTATGAGAACAGAATTTGATACTTCTGGACCAGTTGGGAATGCATTAATCTCCATGTACTCCAAGTCTAGTGGGGTTGGAATTGCGCGAACAATTTTAGAACAAAATGTGACTTCCAATCTCAATGTTATAGCATTTACCGCCCTACTAGACGGATATATCAAGCTTGGAGATATAAATCCAGCCAGACAGATTTTCGACTCATTAAGGGACCGTGATGTGGTTGCCTGGACTGCCATGATAGCTGGTTACGTGCAGAATGGCTTCTGTAATGATGCTATGGAGCTCTTCAAATTAATGGTTAGAGAGGGCCCAAGGCCAAACAACTACACTCTAGCAGCCATGTTGAGTGTGAGTTCGAGTCTGGCTTCTTTAGATCATGGCAAACAAATCCATGCAAAAGCCATTAGGTGGTGGGAAGCATCATCAGTTTCTGTAAGCAATGCTTTAATTACCATGTACTCCAAAGCCGGAAGCATCATAGGTGCAAGACGAATATTCAATCTAATACTCTGGAATAGGGACACTGTCTCTTGGACTTCCATGATCATAGGTTTAGCTCAACATGGTCTTGGGGAGGAAGCTGTTGAACTATTTGAGAGGATGCTCACAGTTGGCGTTCAGCCCGATCACATAACTTATGTTGGTGTGCTGTCTGCCTGCATCCATGTGGGACTGGTAGAACAAGGCCGTAGTTACTACAGAATGATGAAAGATAGACACGGAATTGAACCCACTCCAAGCCACTATGCTTGCATGATTGATCTGTTTGGGCGTGCTGGATTGCTGCAAGAAGCACATGATTTCATAGAAAATATGCCAATTGAACCAGATGTCATTGCCTGGGGTTCACTTTTAGCTTCTTGTAGGGCACACAAAAATGTTGATCTGGCAAAGGTTGCAGCAGAGAGGTTGCTTCTAATTGAGCCAGACAACAGTGGGGCCTACTCAGCACTTGCTAATGTCTATTCTGCTTGTGGAAAATGGGAGGATGCTGGTAAGATTAGAAAGTCAATGAAGGAGAGACAGGTGAAGAAAGATCAAGGATTCAGTTGGGTTCAAATAAAAAATCAAGTTCATATCTTTGGTGTTGAAGATGCACTTCACCCACAGAGAAATGCAATTTATCAGACGATGGCAAAAATCTGGAAAGAGATAAAAAAGATGGGTTTCATTCCAGATGCTGAAGCAGTGTTGCATGATCTTGATCAAGAAGTTAAAGAGCTAATCCTTAGACATCATAGTGAAAAGCTTGCCATTGCATTTGGTCTAATGAATACTGCAGAGAATACTACTTTGAGGATCATGAAGAACCTTAGAGTCTGTAATGACTGTCACTCTGCCATAAAATTTATCTCCAAACTTGTGGGCAGAGAAATCATAGTAAGAGATTCTACACGGTTTCATCATTTCAAAGATGGTTCTTGTTCCTGTCGAGATTATTGGTAGGAATAAAGTGAACATTCCTAAAATATTTATTGGTTTGGAAGAATATCTGAGACAATTGGCCAATGATTTGTGCGCTATAATGTTTACATGTTTCTTTTGCTGCTTTACTGATCATACCGTATTGGGGCTTGTGTGCACCAAATCGTCGTGCTTTCAAAGAAACTCCATTGGACAGGCCTTGGTGGAAGAGTTCAGAATAAAATGGCTATGGGTATAAATTTTATGGGTTGATGATTGTTCATTCCAGGCTTTTGCACCCTGTTACATTTATTTGTTTCACTGGACCTGAATCCTTGGACCAACAAGAGGGCTATACATCATATTTTCCTGGAATTGTAGTCCAATCAATCAGAGCTGACTGGAGATTTGCAGAATATTGTTAAATGAGGCAGTTATCTCAAGTTACATCTTTGTGCACGTCTCCTTCTGACAGCATCAAGATTGGATATGTTCAAACCTCAAAAAAAATAAGGAACTGCAATACAAAGAGTTGCTATCCCTTTTGGTCTTCGGTAATCAAGGGTGCTGGGACTTGGTCCTCACATTTTGCAGAGTCACAATTCTTGCATTTGAGGCCACAACCATAGGGTTGCCAGTCTGTCACTTTTATCACTCCACCAGATAATGGCACTTGAAGAACTGCAATAGAAATCTGGCAAGTATTTTTGATTGATTTTAAAACTTCTTTGCACATCAGAAAACACATTTTGATGTATTTCAAGTATTACAGTATTTAGTTTTATTTTGGTAGGGAGCCAAAATTGAAGTTTTTAACACTGGTTCTGTAGTGTGCAGCAAAGTGCTTTGAAGACTAATGCATTGTATGTTTCTGCTTCTTGCCCTCCTCCCTGATTGCCTGTCAAATGCATGAATAGGTACCAACAAAAGTGAAGCGTGTTACTCTGCTTAGAGATACTGGAGATCGTAGTCTCAATCCTAACATCATAGAAGGTCTTTTCATGGTATGCCTTCCTGGCTCGTATGATTGTGTTGCCTTCTTCACTGGTATTGCCATATTGGGATCGAGGACCAAGACAACCCTCTGCCTGTCATCTACTAGAACCCACGTTTTTTTGTTAAATTAGAGGTTACATATTTTCAAATGTGCAATAGAAGCCCATAAACATCTAGTGATATATTTATTGACCATTTGTCTACTTTTATCTGTTTCACTAGCAGGACTAGCCCTGGATAAGTTGAAGTAGTCCAGAAAGATCTACCGCATCAAATTGGTTGAATAACCTCCCTCGCTTCCCAAGCAAAACTAGAAGATACAAAAATCAGGCATTTTCATAATTTTCTGTTATTTAAAATTATGAACTTGAAACTTATTAGGTAAATAAAATAAATGATTTTGTGAAGTGGCAATGTTTCAATTACTTTGTTATTCTAGGGTTTTGGCATCAATTTGTGGTAGTTTCACTGTAGGGGATTTGTATCTTGAGTTGCCTCCCAAAAGATTGAAGTTAAAGCACCATGTTCTGTCCTGTTTCTCTTAAAACATCACTTTATTAAATTGCTGTGAAGCTAATAGTTGCTGATGTTGGCAAAATTTTGCAGGAAAATACCCAAGATTTTGCAGCGATGATTCTCTGATTTGTCCATCCTTGAAGTTCCAAAGCTGATAATAGTTCTAAAGAAGAATGCCTCCATGACATTCGGTGTACATTTCCAGCAGTCTCACCACTAGTACTTGACAGATCTTATAATGTTTCTATAAGGGAAATGCTTTTTGTATAGCAGATCAAGTGAAGCATAAAATTTTGACGATGTCAAAACGTTGAATTTCATGACTAGGATGCACCCAGCTTCCCTCTTTAAGTAATGTTAGAGCAGGGTCCTATTTCTGAAATTCGATAAACAAATGTTAGAGCTGAGGGCCAAAGTCCTCACCAATAGTTGCATCAGTGTTTGATTGTATTTTTCAGAAGGTATTGCAGGCATTTTTTTTTATCAAAACAACTGATTTTTTTTTTTTTTTTAAAGTTTAGAAGCATGGTGCAAGGCCAAAATCCAAAAGT